TATCGGTATCGCAAACGTTTGTTTTCTCTATTTTTTAACATCAGTATTATTCTTCAAGTGTTTCTGATTTGGATGACTTTTCGCATGTCTAGGTGGGCTGTGGACCGTAACTGGCGGTGCGCAGTCTAGGATCGAAGGCCCAGGCCTAATTTTGCTCGGTGTCTGAGAGCGTCCTGGTAAGGTCAGTGACATGTGATACCTAAACAGATTGCTCAAGTGGACGCTCAAGATACAGATTGCTCACGACATTTTTAATTTCACTTCTGAAAGTGAAATTTTCACGAATTACTGAAAATTTTAACATTAGAAAAATTTTGAGCTTTGGCCTCAACAGTGCTAAAACTGAATTGGAAAATCGCTTCCTGCCCACGAACGTGTAAAGGCGTGACTGAACTGTTGTTTGTTAATTTAAGCTGGACAGAATTAATTAAATTGAAATTCGGGAATCGTCAATTTTAGGTGGCGTGATGACCAAACACATATCGATTGTCTACGAAGAACTGTCCGTGATTTGGGCCAAGAACTTCAAGAAACAAAGCAGCTGTTGAATAGAGAAAAAAAACACAGGTAAGCATCTTTGTAATTTTCGCTTACATTCTCATAAGTGACCATTACTTTGATCTTTGTTCAGATGCAGTTGCAGTACACAGGTGGAGTTAGCAGCTTTTTCAGTTGCTTTTACCGATGCTGCAATGTCAGAGCACTAACTTTCCTGAAGTCCATTCCTTTTCTGAAGGGAATTCCAGCTGTTTGGAACAGTTCTGCTTTACCTGACGATCAGCCTACTGCTGGCGATCCTGATGCTTATTTAGTTACTGTGCCGGACAATATACCGAACAAGTCCAATTGACGGGAAAATGCCAGCCTTGCTCAAACATTTGCTTCAAGTCTGGGGAGGGGTCATTTTCATGTTCCGTTTGGGCATATTTAATTTGATCCATTTTAGTGATTCATCGCTATCTCTTGATACGGATATAATCATTGATGTGCAAAACGAACTGAAAGTGATAAACGAACAAATTCGACATTTTAGAAGCATGTTGCACAAGGTATCTTTTAAGGATCTTTTAGAAACAATTAGCACTTGAAATATAATACTTGTTTCGCAGAAATTGGTGGCTAAAGTACCAGTAATTTCAGAGTTCGTTCTAGTAGGGTAATTTCCTATTTGGTGGGCAGATGAGAAGCTGCACTGATGATGACCGCTTCTACCCTATACTTCCTCTGCGATTACAACTTTAAAACTCCCCGCACCAAATAAGCTTATACAGAGACACATAGAAAATCTCAACATTATGAATTTTGCATCGCTGCCGCAGCACAAGGCGCATAAAAACACTTATTTTGTCGTATCCGATTAGTGTAGTGTTCGAAATTAGGTAATTAGAATTCTAATAAAATAAGTTTGAAATTTGGTAATTTTGCAGTATGAGCGAAGTACACGTGAACTTCGAATGCGGCATACGTCAACAAATTCGAGAATGCAGCGGAGCGAAAGGCACAGGGCGCATGTGCAAATCGCTTGTGCAAAAACGGAAATTATCGCCGTACAGATACGCCAATACGTTAGACGAAATAGGCATACGAATGATACGGACGACGAACTCCAGAGTGATTGAAGAAGCGCTTTTTTACTGCATTAATGATCAGCAATAGTTAGTGATTTATTATCGACGACTAAATTGATTATTGAGTTTTTCCTTATTTCGCTAATATGTCCTTCGTTGCTGAATTTTTTACTACTTTATCATATTTTTATTGCTTTCAATATTTCGACTTTAGACCCCTTGTAATTCACTCCATACGAGAGACGGAGGCATTCGGAGTACTCTCTAGTATCCCCGCCTCTCGTAGAGAACAAATGGTTGACAGCAATTTTCAAAAATAATCATGCTCTGATAAAGCTGCCGAAGGTACGCTCTTTGAAGTGTTGCTTAAATGCAAAATTGTAGTAAGTAGATTTCCCAACAGTGGTAAAATACGGTGCTCAGTTTCCCCGCGTATGTTGTATTTCACGGTGCTCCAAAATTTATGCCTCAAATAATGTGCAGAATTTTTGCCTGTATTTTGAATATTTGATTGTTCGAGTTAAGTGCAATTTTGTTCGTTTTCCATTAATTAATTGCTCAATTACTGTGCTTTCATTCATTCAACAAGTTTCTGTTTTTCATTTTCAACAGTCCATCAAATACGTGTAATTTTTGTGTGCTTAGAATAAAAATTTTTCGATGATTCTTGCGCTGCACTGACATGTTTCTTGAAAACTTTTTGCCTAATCCTGGCAGTTTGCAGTATTGCTAGTCCTCAACAAACAGACCGAAAGAACTGTGCCCAGCTCTTCAACAGCACTGTATGAAGGCACTGACACACGAATGCCAAACTTGGTCAGTGACCAAAGTCGAACAGCAAACGGTGGTAGTAATGAAGAGGGTTTGGTTTGTTTTGTTGCGATTATATAAGCAATCAGACTGTCTATCAGATAAGCGGCCTGCAGACATTTCACTACAAATACAGCAGAATGTGAAGACAGCGCGATGATAAAAGAAATGATTACATGGATCACTGCTGGCGAGGTAATGCTCACACATCCAATCACTGGCGACGCGCACCACTCCAGGCCGTGTGGTCATGTGTTTTTGCAGTATTTCGCGCTGTAGCAAGACCGAGTGGGTTCACAACAGCTAGGATTTGTGACGTACTGGTTCAGAAAGTTAATTGTGTAACTACGCGGCAGTTGGGCAGGGGACATTCCGCTGAAATTACAACTCCATAGCTTCTCTGGTTCCCGAGTTAGCGATTTTTCGTCAAAACTCTCACGTGGTCGTATGCGGGGACCGGACGTGCTTGAGGGTTGGTACCGCGGACCTGGGATGGGATTTGGCCGGAGCTTGCTTGGTTGCCAAATTGAAATACTCGGGAGACGCACACACACAC